ACAGGACAGAGAGGCTAAGCTTCTGGGACTCATGGCTTCTCAATGTATGAACCATCAGTAATTAATACAGGTGGCATAAGAGCTTTTTATAGTGGAATGATGTAGAAAATGTAGCAGAAGATCCAGCCACTGACATCTAAGCAATCTTTTGGTTTTTAGTAATTTAATTCTCCTTGTCCTCACCTGTAAAGAGGTTTTATGATTCTTAACCAATTTGAAAATTTCCAAAAGTGCCAATCAATCTGCCCACTGGTGTATAAAATTAAGCTTTGAAGCCATCAGTGAAATGAAATATAGAATTTTGGGGGTTGGTGGCAAAATAATTCATGGTGTCTGGTAGTGAAGAACCAAGAATGGAAATGGCATCATAGTTTTATAATGAAAGAGACCTTAGTGCTGTTGTAGGCTCTTATTTCCTGGAACATGAAAGCTAAACCTCAGTGCCAGAGCAACAAATCAAGGCTTTATGCAGAGTGGTAGAAAGTGCCAAGTTTTTATTGCAAACTCCTGTAGGAAAATAGCATTTCATTTTTATTTTCTCTTGACCTGCTCTCTTCTTAACATCATACACTTTTCTAGCATTCTCAACACATAGGCCTTGGCCTGGAAATGCTCCCTTGGTGAGCGCATATCAACATCAAATCCCTAAAGCCTAGCCACATGCTTTTCACCAAGAACCTACAACTTCAAGGGTCTTGATCTGTGGCTTTGAAACATATAGTTATTAGCTTTAATCATCTAACCTTGTAAAAAAACAAAAGTAAAGACATTTTCTCATCTAAGAATCCAAAATTCTTACTTAAGAGAAAGTATGTTGGAGTTACTCATCTTACCGTTTGGTTCATATACCTCAGGTCAACTCTCTCCCGCTTAAAAAAATAAAATAAAATAAAAATAATAAAATAAAAAAATCATAACCCGTCTGTTATCTTCTCTTTTTCTTAATCACTACTTGCAATCCCATTTTTGTCTTTTTCTCCATACTTTGTCTCTGTCTTTCTCCCTAAAAACAATTTTTTTTATTAGTAGAAATCTAGAATCTGGATCTGTCTCAAATAAAGACCTACAACATTTATTTTAAGCAATAAATCAATATGTTCTCTCCTATGCATCTAGTTTGGTTCTACTTCTATTACTTCCTTGCTAGAATTGAGACAAGAATCATTCAGATTCTTGTCTTTGTTTTGTGTGATTCACATGTCATTAGGTACAATGGCACATTTCAACAAAGAGAGAAAAGAAGACTATCCAATCTATAAGAGTTTGGCTGATGTCCAGCCTGATAGGAGTGGCTTACTTTAGATGGATGGAATGGACACAGCTATAATGTATGAGCTAGGTCATCTTCTTATTCATGCCATCACTATGCTAATGTGTTTTCATATTTCATTATTTTTTTATTCTATTTTTCACATCTGTTAGTTAGTTCTGCTTATATACAATAGGTCCTAGTAAATCTCCAGCAGTTTAAAGTGTCGTTTTTTGAGAAGGAAATCTTGCCATTTGCAACTACATGGATGGAACTGGAGGGTTTTAGACTAAGTGAAATTAGTCAGAGAAAGACAAATATCATATGACTTCACTCATATGATTACTTTAATATGCAAAACAGATGAACATAAAGGAAGGGAAGCAAAAATAATACAAAAACAGAGGGGGGACAAAATATGAGACTCTTAAATATGTAGAACAAACAGTGTTGCTGGAGGAGTTATGGGAGGGGGGATGGGCTATGGGTAAGGGGCATTAAGGAATCTACTCCTGAAATCATTGTTACACTATTGTTGTACTAACTTGGAAGTAAATTAAAAAAATAAATGAAATATTAAAAAATAGAAAAACACTCACTAATTGAAGATAAATGAATAAATAAATAAATAAATAAGGTGTATTTTTTGGTGTGTTTAGTAAGAAGATATTAAGAAAATAGATTTTCCATGATGTGTCCGTAAATATATAAGCACCTTTTGATAAGAAATGAAGCAGAGAATTAACAAACTAGATTACTTTTAAAACCCAGATTATAGGGGCGCCTGGGTGGCGCAGTCGGTTAAGCATCCGACTTCAGCCAGGTCACGATCTTGCGGTCAGTGAGTTCGAGCCCCGCGTCAGGCTCTGGGCTGGTGGCTCGGAGCCTGGAGCCTGTTTCCGATTCTGTGTCTCCCTCTCTCTCTGCCCCTCCCCCGTTCATGCTCTGTCTCTCTCTGTCCCAAAAATAAATAAAAACGTTGAAAAAAAAATTAAAAAAAAAAAACCCAGATTATAGACTATAGACTAATTTGTTTTTCCCCAATGACAGAGAGAGAACATAAATCATTAAATTGTAAGTATATATCTTTTTGGATTTTCACATCCAGCCAAAGTATTTATATGTATATGTAAATTATCTTATAAAGCGCATATTTAATTCTTACCTTAAACCTCTAAATATAACTGGTTTTACCAATCCAGGCTTCAAAGAGAGAATCTTGAGGTTCAGTTAGTGAATATTGGCCTCAAATCTATAGCTAGTAAACAGAAGAGCCAGGAGCCAGGATTATTTCTGCCTCTAAATCCAGGGCTCTTTGAACTTTTAGCACACTGCTTTCCCCTGTGAATGATGAAGCCCTATGAATAAGTTACTACATGTAAGGAATTATTATTCTTATAGAATCACTATGGTAATTTTTAATGTAATAGTGCTAAAACTATGTTATAGAAATATTTTCTTTTTATAGAAAAATTGCATCCCAGAAACTGTCTGGTGTAGGTCATGTATACAGAGAATAACTTCACATGATAAACACCCTTTTACTTACTCACTTATGAGAGTGGAAAAAGTGAGAGCATAGACTCTGGCATCACATTAGCTTGGAGTCCACCTCTGCTTTACCAGCCACTGCGTGTCTGATTTGAAGCACTTACATAACCCCTTTGTGCCTTAATTGGAAAACAAGAAGTTCCTATGTCATAGAATTTGTCATGAAGATTAAGTTACTTACTTAATCTATATAAAATACTAGAACACTGTATGCCTGGCACATAATAGACACTCAAAAAAGCATGTGACTGAAAATATAGGTAAGGTTGATTATATGCTTTCAAATAAAAAATTTAGGGGCACCTCGGTGACTCAGTCAGTTAAGTAGCCAACTCTTGATTTCAGCTCAGGTCATGATCTCACGGTTGTGAGATCGAGCTCCATGTCAGGTTTTGCACTGACAGCACAAAGCCGCTTGGGATTTTCTCCCTTCCTGTCTCTCTGCCCCTCCCCTGCTCTCTCTGTCTCTCTCAAACTAAAAAAAAAAAAAAAAAAAAAAAAAAAAAAAAAAAAAAAAAAAAAAAAAAAAAAAAAAAAAAAAAATTTAAAAAAATTAAAATGACTTTCACCCTACTATTTCTTGTATAACTGAAAATGAGTTCACATTTGGCTCGTTGAGGTCATAACAGATCTAAGTCCACTATTCTGTTTGTTGCTATTACACAATATATGAATAGGTGCTCAATCTTGAAAGGCAGCATTAATCAGAATGGTAATCACCCTAAGAAGGCTATAAAAACAAGAGTTCATCTATCTTTTATCAAAGAATAGCACAACCTTCAGACATTTTGACGTCTACCTCAACTTCACCGAAGTAACAATATCAACAATGAAGATACTTTGTATTTTCCTGACCTTTGTCTTCACTGTGCCTTGTGGTCCATCAGGTAATATTTGCTAATAGGGAAAAGGAGGGAAGAACAAAATGCTTTTTTATAAATGCTTTACTCTGGCAAGAAAAGAAAAAAAAAAAAAAA